ATGTTGTTTACTTCAGAGCTTTGAGGAGGCTGTTAGTTGGAACAATGAAGTTAAGCAGGGATTGTCCAGTAGCATTTTCACAAAGGATCTAGGCAAAGTGTTTAACTGGATGGGGTAAGCCTGGCAAAGGGTTAATTTCAGTCTTTCTGAGGTACTGTAAAATTCTGAAAATAAGCCCCTCCATGTATAAGCCCCCCAAACTTGTAACGCAAAAAACCCTCCGTTAAATTGCCCCTCCAGATATAAGCCCCCCCTGGGGGCTTGTACTTGGAAATTGCCCTCAAATACAAAGAAAAGCAAAACGGTGAATTTCCTTCCAACTAAAAGGCTAGCCCAATCGATTTTGAAACGCAAATTTCCCTCCGTAGATAAGCCCCTCCGAATATAAGCCCCTCCAAAAATAAGCCCCTCAAAAAGGGCCTTTGAAAAATATAAGCCCCAGGGCTTATTTTCGGAATTTTACAGTATACTACAAACAACCATTTGTAAAATTGTTCAGACATCCTTGCTAACAATCAACTTGATTACGAGTAGGGCCGGTTATTGAAAAGTTCAGACAAATAACCACATTCATCCCCTTTCTCTTCCCTGTTGAAAGTTTGGGATTTTTGCAACTTTGATTAGAGAGAAAGGTGATAAATACATGTTGCATACTTTGGGTCTAAAAAGATGCTGACTACCAAGCAATAGCAATAAAGGGGCACAAGCTTTCACTGATTGTTTGTTTTATTCACCAGTTTAGGTTCTCTTCAAAATATGCTATTACAATATGGATCACCTAATTGACAAGCATTCCACTGAAATCTGAATCAATAAATTAATCTGCTGAGGGAGAATGATGAAAGTTTTAAAATAGGTCTACAGATTTCTTAGTACCTTAATATTACTCTCTTTCAGTCCATTGGGATCTGACTGTGGTATCGTCAACGTAAATATTCCAACAAGTGGGGCAGAAATTGGAGGCGCCTTTGGTAAGTCATGCAATGCAAGTCCTGCACTTCCAAGTGTCCTGTGATTGCATTCAAAATTACCAGTATTTCTTGGGGAATGTCTGGCTGACTGAACATTGTTCTCATTCCACAAGGTGGGGAGAAGCATACGGGAGGTGGCAGAGAATCTGGAAGTGATGCATGGAAAGCTTACATGAGGAGGTCAACATGGTAATATCAAAAATTTGTAACTTGAAAAAATCATTTGAAAATGTACCATTAAACACCCTGCTAGCAGAGTCGCTTCAACTGTCCTAGATAAGAAACTCCTTGACCTTCCTCTTCCCAACTTATCTAGATTCTGTTTGCAGGGTAATTATTACACTGTAAGTGCACTCAAATGATCCACTATAGCATCAGGAATAAATTTTATGAAATGATGTATAGAATACTGCAGGGGAGCAAACGCCACAAATCCTATAGACAAATTTACAACCGTTTTATTATCAGTAAAATGCTTGAGTTCTGGTTTCGTTAATTCTTTACTTTGAAACCCTAAAAAATGCCTGCAATTTCATTCTCTCTCCACTATCTTGTATTACTTTTAAACATAACATACCATGCTATGAGGTTCTAAAAACAGTCTTGTTGTTTTTCTCAGCACAATAAACTTCAGCAAAGAGTTGCCCCTTGCCCAAGGAATCAAGTTCGGCTAAGAAGCATGTGGTTTATTACGAAGAATTTTCAACTTATCACACATTTTTTAGATAATACATTTGTATTTTAAAATAATTGCTTTTAAACTGTCCATGGCAAGAAATATTTAAGAAGAAACAGTTTGCTTTGCAGTTACATGTATTTTTTGAGTCTCTAACATATCCTGCAGATCCATATTTTTGTAACAGCGGAAGGGACTATGGCGTAGTATAATAGCTGAATCCACAAGCAGGCTAGATAAAGTGAATCCTTCATTCTGATTAACTATCTGACTGTATCGCAGGCTCAGGTATACAATTCATGGAGATGCCTTTTTTTTAAGTTATCTGCTGGCCATTTTTTGGTTTTCAATTGATCTCAGGCTCAGGTCCTTTTTTTTAAAGGTGGAATTCAGTTTGCTTTCTGCTTATGGCAAAAGTTGAATTACTTGAGAAAGACATTTCCAAAAGCATCTTTCAAGAGCTTCACTTTTGGCCTTGGCTTAAGCTATATATAAGCATTTTAAAAAGTCGAGGTCAATAATTCTCATGGATCTTGGCCAATATTCAGCCATCTTGACCACACCCTTGGTCAATAACGCATAAAAATGATGTATTGACAATGGGCATTTGGTCCTGAAGCAGTGAGGAAGTGTGTCAAATAGGGATCATACACAGTGAACAAGAAAATAAAGCATGATGACACTTGAACTGAGGCTAATCGCTATTTATACCAAATCTACAATATCAATGACCCTCACATTTCACGTGATACTGATAAAAAATATCAAGCAGTAAACAAATTATTTTAATAGCAAGTAGGAAAAAGTAGCACTTATTTATTTTAGACACCTTTTTATTGCTGGCTTATAAGAGAAGGCAATAAGTAAATAAAATATTATAAAAAGGGTACAAAAAACGACTTAGTGTGATGGTTTTTTTTTTAGGATTGATTCTGTCTCTTCTCACCAAAGTTATCTTTGTGGATAACATTTAGATCAGATCTTCATGAAGGAAAAATTGTCTTACTTCACTGAAGAACTACTCCTGTAAAGGGGTGATGGGCTTGTTAAGATCCATGCTAGGTCCAGCCCGAAGGCATTCTGATGCATACCGCAAATGATTGGCTACTTTTGGAGTGGCTTTATGACACTCTTTGTCTAACATGTTTGCCAGCACATCAAGCAGACCCAGATAGCTGTAACACAAAGCAGCTCTCCGCAGTCTGTTCAGCTCCTGAGTAAAACAATTCACAAACTAAATGTGAGTGGTAAGTTTTCTCAGTCTCAAGAAGAGCAAGTTAGTTGTAGCTGAACATTATCAGCTAGGAGGCAAGCTCTGAGGAGCAATGGCCCAAAATTAAGTTAATAAAACTGTTGTAGTGCCTTACATAACTTGTCAGGCAACTCATGATAAAAATATTCAGTCACTCCACTAACTTTGGGCTATTTGAAAGAACTTTTGTTGCACCTTGTCAGGTGACTACTTTTTCCAGCACTAAAGCATGGATCCACATGGGTGGTTATGGGCGGCTCATATCTAAAGAAAGTAAATTGGCCACCAATTCAACAATTTCCTTCATTTTCAATTTTGGGTCACATGACATGGTTCAGGCACAAGAAAACCTCAATATTTACTTCTGGGGAAAAAACATTTTGTTCTAGGTCTCCTAGTGAGAGATATTGCCAATCATTCATATGTTCCAAACACACCTTTGACCCAGGCCTTAAACCCCTTGTGCAAGCATTTACAGGTTACCAACCTTGTAGAACTGTACTTGTTTGTCCGGAAGCCTCTTAGCATAACGCAACAGCTTTTGGACATCAGACTAAAATGATAGCAAACACAAATCTGGAGATTAAGAAGATCTACCCAATCGATTTTGAAACGCAAATTTCCCTCCGTAGATAAGCCCCTCCGAATATAAGCCCCTCCAAAAATAAGCCCCTCAAAAAGGGCCTTTGAAAAATATAAGCCCCAGGGCTTATTTTCGGAATTTTACAGTATACTACAAACAACCATTTGTAAAATTGTTCAGACATCCTTGCTAACAATCAACTTGATTACGAGTAGGGCCGGTTATTGAAAAGTTCAGACAAATAACCACATTCATCCCCTTTCTCTTCCCTGTTGAAAGTTTGGGATTTTTGCAACTTTGATTAGAGAGAAAGGTGATAAATACATGTTGCATACTTTGGGTCTAAAAAGATGCTGACTACCAAGCAATAGCAATAAAGGGGCACAAGCTTTCACTGATTGTTTGTTTTATTCACCAGTTTAGGTTCTCTTCAAAATATGCTATTACAATATGGATCACCTAATTGACAAGCATTCCACTGAAATCTGAATCAATAAATTAATCTGCTGAGGGAGAATGATGAAAGTTTTAAAATAGGTCTACAGATTTCTTAGTACCTTAATATTACTCTCTTTCAGTCCATTGGGATCTGACTGTGGTATCGTCAACGTAAATATTCCAACAAGTGGGGCAGAAATTGGAGGCGCCTTTGGTAAGTCATGCAATGCAAGTCCTGCACTTCCAAGTGTCCTGTGATTGCATTCAAAATTACCAGTATTTCTTGGGGAATGTCTGGCTGACTGAACATTGTTCTCATTCCACAAGGTGGGGAGAAGCATACGGGAGGTGGCAGAGAATCTGGAAGTGATGCATGGAAAGCTTACATGAGGAGGTCAACATGGTAATATCAAAAATTTGTAACTTGAAAAAATCATTTGAAAATGTACCATTAAACACCCTGCTAGCAGAGTCGCTTCAACTGTCCTAGATAAGAAACTCCTTGACCTTCCTCTTCCCAACTTATCTAGATTCTGTTTGCAGGGTAATTATTACACTGTAAGTGCACTCAAATGATCCACTATAGCATCAGGAATAAATTTTATGAAATGATGTATAGAATACTGCAGGGGAGCAAACGCCACAAATCCTATAGACAAATTTACAACCGTTTTATTATCAGTAAAATGCTTGAGTTCTGGTTTCGTTAATTCTTTACTTTGAAACCCTAAAAAATGCCTGCAATTTCATTCTCTCTCCACTATCTTGTATTACTTTTAAACATAACATACCATGCTATGATGTATCACATTTTAACTTTTGGTACATGATTATTCCTAGTAATAATGATCAAAGATTAAAGAGCAATGATTGTTTCACTGGTCGTCCCATTCAATCTCACTCCAACCATTATGTCTTTATGTCTAACACAATTGTGGTAATTAATTTATTTTACTGCTCAAATTATGTTCCCCAGGTGAATGTTAATCTTTGTTTCACACACGCTGCGATCTTACAGAAACAATTTTTGACGTGCATGGATTTTATTTTTCTGTTGTCACATTCCCAACCGTTTAAACATCTTTTGTTGGATTTCAGGTTGGCCAGAAAGTTGGAACTACAGTACAAAACAGATTTGGTAAGCGAACCCATAGACTTCTATTGTAATATTCTTAAAACTTCATGAAGAAAAAAGAAGAGTATAAAAAATAAATGTAGTTCAGTGTCCTATTATTGTACATTGTTTACATTCCCTGAGTCATAAGAGAACCTTTTTTTTGGCAGGAAGGAAAATCTTAGAGCTTGGAGGAAATAATGCCATTATTGGTGAGCTGCATATTTTACAATAATCATTCTTATAACATCATAATGAAATCAATTCCGTAGGGATATCTTCTGCTCCCATGTGGAGCAAAAGAAATATGCAAAATTGGAAGCCATTTTCATTTTCTGCGGCATACAGCCTCTCTGAAATTATCTATAGTACTGCATTTTTCCTAAGTCTTTGCCATTGCAAGTGGGTGGGGTTTTTTTTATCAGCAACATGTCCCTGTGGAATTAGCTTTCCACACTGGTGATAAAAGCTCAGTGTGTGTATTAATCTCCTTACATTTCCTCACCAAGACCTTTTTTACTTGTTGATCATTTTCTATATTAATTTTTCTTATGACCTTATGTCTGATTGAGCAGTGTTGCTATGAGGAGCAATTAACTGTTAGTAGACACTCTTAGGCGTGAAATGTTAAAGCTCATAATATGGGTGGCTGTTAATGGAACACAAGTTGTACTCATTACTGTACTGCATGAACCACTTGCATTAATTGGTGACTTGTCATAGTAAAACTGATTGAAACTGAGATCTTAATAACTTAAAATCAAGTAAAATTAGTAAAAATATACAACTGTTTTTTTTTGTCAGTAATGAATGATGCAGATTTAGAGCTTGCCATCCCATCAGTCTTGTTTGCATCTGTTGGCACTGCAGGACAGCGATGTACAACAACACGGAGATTGGTAAAAAAATACTTCTTTTACTCTTATTTTAAGTACAGTTTGTAAACATCATTGGATCAATTTTGTCTTATAGTGTACAGGTTTCCGACCCAACACAGCTGGTGGTCCTTTAAAGTTGGTTAATTGAATCCGATTTTTGTAACAAGTCAACAAGGCAGTTTTAATATCTATAGTTAATTATTATCTTTTTCTTTGGTTAAAACAAGAGGAACTAATCATGAGTTTGAGTGCATAATTTATTCTTTAAGTGGAGGTTTGTGATAAGTTGTAATCTCTAGAAATGTACAAAAGGTTGTTGATTCCTATCTCTCACCATGCAGCCTCCTCTCTAGCTACTTGGTAGTGGTATATTTAAATGTGCAATTCAATTTTTACTGATAAAAAGAACAAACCTGGTAAACTAACAGGTGTTTTTTCAATGGCTTTCCTTAGACTGTCCATGAAGACATTCATGATGAAGTGGTAGAACGTTTAAAAAAAGCCTATGCTCAAGTCAGAATTGGAGATCCTCTGGATGGTGGGTGGAAGATGTCTTAAATAAATGTGCAGTCCCAAGAAAGAATAAGCATACCCATTCTTATTTGTCGAGGTCAAATTTTTCTTGTATTTTGCAGAGGATACTCTTTATGGTCCAGTTCATTCTGAAATGGCCATTGACATATATAAAAAGGCTGTCGGTGATGCTCAGAAGCAGGTCCTATATTAAATATTTATTTTATAAATATGTTGTCTTTATGTGATCATCAAGTGTTTGAAAGGAAATTTTTGTCTTTTGTGTCTGTCATTGTCCATGGTAATTTTTCTAATCCTGCCTAATGGTTTCGTTTTGTTTTGTTTAGGGAGGAAGAATTACTTATGGAGGAAAGGTAAGAGGGTCAAGATTTTAATATTGTCATACCCTGTGAACAGTGGTTTCTCTCTTGCATGGCTCGTAGCACGTACTAAGTCATATGCGTGGCTTGTTTATCATGCCTTGGGGAGTATAAAACAAACCAACTATGCAACAGACAAGCTACACAAACAACTTCGTAAACACTAAAAGCCATGTAAGAGAGGAACCTTTGCCTTGCAGGGTATAATATTATTGTCAACAATGCTCAGTTTGTAAATTGGTCTGAATTGGCCTCTTTTAATTTTTCATTGAGAATATTTCTTGGAACTTCAATTCAAAGTTGTTGCTGACACCCCTTTTAGGTACTAGACAAGGCTGGCTTCTATGTTGAGCCTACAATCGTCACTGATCTTCCTCATGATGCAGAAATTGTACATCGAGAATCATTTGTTCCCATTTTATATGTTCTCAAGTGCAAGGTAATATTGTTTTGTTTATTTTTTTCATGTATTTAGAAGTTCCACTACATTCTTGGTGATTATGTTCACATAATAATTAATAAACAAGCAGCAGTGTTTTGTCAGGTTTAAAATCACAAGCAGAAGGTAAGTGATTTTACACCTGATAAAACATGTGCTGTGAGTTTATCAAATGTCCAAAAAGACATGCCTGGAAAAGTGTGTCTCAATTATAATAGAGTTCAGAAAAGAATGATGCTTTTGTGAAAGTTGGAAATGCGCATACGGAAAAAAAAAAATATTAATAATCAAAGGAGTTCAGGCTTCAGAAGTAATCATTGATCGTTTATTGCGACAGTGCTGTTTTCGTATGGTCCGAAATTGCAGGACCACACTCATCAGGTAACTTCAAAAATAAAATTAGATATGAAATTAGTATGCAAGAAAAATCACATCTCCCCCTCTTTTGAACTTTCTTCTATGAACGACACTAACCAAAGAGGACATGGGGTCCACCTGAAATGATATGTGACATTTGGCCACTGAACGAAAATGTTGAGTTTTCAAGCCACCATTGAAGATCAGCATGTTCAGTACAAATTAGGCTCTGGATCTAATAACTACCTTATTTGGCCAGGAGGTAAGACTGACTCAGTTGTCATGTTTGAATGATAAATAAGTATGTTAATGTTGTTCACTTCAGAGCTTTGAGGAGGCTGTTAGTTGGAACAATGAAGTCAAGCAAGGATTGTCCAGCAGCATTTTCACAAAGGACCTAGGCAAAGTGTTTAACTGGATGGGGTAAGCCTAGCAAAGAGTTAATTTCAGTCTTTCTGAGGTACTATAAAATTCCAAAAATAAACCCCTCTATGTATAAGCCCCTCCAAATATAAGCCCCCCAAACTCGTAATGCAAAAAACCCTCCGTTAAATCACCCCTCCAGGTATAAGCCCCCCCAGGGGGCTTGTACTTGGAAATTGCCCTCAAATACAAAGTAAAACAAAGCAAAAATGGTTAATTTCCTTCCAACTAAAAGGCTAGCCCAATCGATTTTGAAACACAAATTTTCCTCCGTAGATAAGCCCCTCTGAATATAAGCTCCTCCAAAAATAAGCCCCTCAAAAAGGGCCGTTGAAAAATATAAGCCCCAGGACTTATTTTCGGAATTTTACAGTATACTACTAACAACCATTTGTAAAATTGTTTAGACATCCTTGCTAACAAATAACTTGATTACGACTAGGGCCATTTATTGAAAAGTTCAGGTAAATAACCACATTCACCCCCTTTCTCTTGCCTGTTGAAAGTCTGGGCTTTTTGCAACTTTGATTAGAGGGAAAGGTGATGAATACATGTTACATACTTTGGGTCTAAAACGATGCTGACTACCAAGCAATAGCAATAAAGGGGCTCAAGCTTTTACTGATTGTTTGTTTTATTCACCAGTTTAGGTTCTCTTCAAAATATGATATTACAATATTGGATCATCTAATTAACAAGCATTCCACTGAATCTGAATCAATAAATTAATCTGCTGAGGGAGGATGGTGAAAGTTTTAAACTAGGCAGATTTCTTAGTACCTTAGTGTTACTGTCTTTCAGTCCATTGGGATCTGACTGTGGTATCGTCAATGTAAATATTCCAACAAGTGGAGCAGAGATTGGAGGCGCCTTTGGTAAGTCATACAATGCAAGTCCTGCACTTCCAAGTGTCCTGTGATTGCATTCAAAATTACCAGTATTTCTTGGGGAATTTCTGGCTGACTGAACATTGTTCTCATTCCACAAGGTGGGGAGAAGCATACAGGAGGTGGCAGAGAATCTGGAAGTGATGCATGGAAAGCTTACATGAGGAGGTCAACATGGTAATATCAAAAATTTGTAACTTGAAAAAATCATTTGAAAATGTACCATTAAACACCCTTCTAGCAGAATCGCTTCAACTTTCCTAGATAAGAAACGCCTTGGCCTTCCTCTTCCCAACTTACCTAGATTCTGTTTGCAGGGTAATATTATTACACTGTAAGTGCACTCAAATGATCTACTAGCATCAGGGATAAATTTTATGAAATGATGTATAGAATACTGCAGGGGAGCAAACGCCACAAAAGTTATCCTATAGACAAATTTACAACTGTTTTATTATCAGTAAAATGCTTGAGTTCTGGTTTCGTTAATTCTTTACTTTGAAACCCTAAAAAATGCCTGCAATTTCATTCTCTCTCCACTATCTTGTATTACTTTTAAACATAACATACCATGCTATGAGGTTCTAAAAACAGTCTTGTTGTTTTTCTCAGCACAATAAACTTCAGCAAAGAGTTGCCCCTTGCCCAAGGAATCAAGTTCGGCTAAGAAGCATGTGGTTTATTACGAAGAATTTTCAACTTATCACACATTTTTTAGATAATACATTTGTATTTTAAAATAATTGCTTTTAAACTGTCCATGGCAAGAAATATTTAAGAAGAAACAGTTTGCTTTGCAGTTACATGTATTTTGCAAGAAACAGTTTGATAGGCCACCTGACTGTATCTCAGGCTCAAGTATACAATTCATGGAGGTGTCTTTTTTTAAGTTATCTGCTGGCCATTTTTTGGTTTTCAATTGATCTTGGGCTCAGGTCCTTTTTTTTAAAGGTGGAATTCAGTTTGCTTTCTGCTTATGGTAAAAGTTGAATTACTTGAAAGACATTTCCAAAAGTATCTCTCGAGAGCTTCACTTTTGGTCTTGGCTTAAGCTATATATAAGCATTTTAAAAAGTCGAGGTCAATAATTCTCTTGGATGGCCAATATTCAGCCATCTTGACCACACCCTTGGCCAATAACGCATAAAATGATGCATTGACAATGGGCATTTGGTCCTGAAGCAGTGACAGAGGAAGTGTGTCAAATAGGGATCATGCACAGTGAAGAAGAAAATAAAGCATGATGACACTTGAACTGAGGCTAATCGCTATTTATACCAAATCTACAACATCAAAGACCCTCACATTTCACGTGATATTAATAAAAATTATTTTAATAGCAAGTAGGAAAAAGTAGCACTTACTTATTTTAGACACCTTTTTATTGCTGGCTTATAAGAGAAGGCAATAAGTAAATAAAATATTATAAAAAGAGTACAAAAAACGACTTAGTGTGATGTTTTTTTTTAGGGAGTGGGGGGATTGATTCTGTCTCTTCTCACCAAAGTTATCTTTGTGGATGACATTTAGATCAGATCTTCATGAAGAAAAAATTGTCTTACTTGACTGAAGAACTACTCCTGTAAAGGGGTGATGGGCTTGTTAAGATCCATGCTAGGTCCAGCCCGAAGACATTCCGATGCATACCGCAAATGATTGGCTACTTTGGGAGTGGCTTTATGACACTCTTTGTCTAACATGTTCGCCAGCACATCAAGCAGACCCAGATAGCTGTAACACAAGGCAGCTCTCCGCAGTCTGTTCAGCTCCTGAGTAAAACAATTCACGAACTAAATGCGAGTGGTAAGTTTTCTCAGTCTTGAGAAGAGCAAGTTAGTTGTAGCTGAACATTACTAGCTAGGAGGCGAGCTCTGAGGAGCAATGGCCCAAAATTAAGTTAATAAAACTGTTGTAGTGCCTTACATAACTTGTCAGGCAACTCATGATAAAAATATTCAGTCACTCCAAAACTTTTTCCAGCACTAAAGCATGGATCCACATGGGCGGTTATGGGCGGCTCATATCCAAAGAAAGTAAATTGGCCACCAATTCAACAATTTCCTTCATTTTCAATTTTTGGTCACATGACATGGTTCAGGCACAAGAAAACCTCAATATTTACTTCTGGGGAAAAAAACATTTTGTTCTAGGTCTCCTAGTGAGAGATATTGCCAATCATTCGTATGTTCCGAACACACCTTTGACCCAGGCCTTAAACCCCTTGCGCAAGCATTTACAGGTTACCAACCTTGTAGAACTGTACTTGTTTGTCCGGAAGCCTCTTAGCATAACGCAACAGCTTTTGGACATCAGACTAAAATGATAGCAAACACAAATCTGGAGATTAAGAAGATCTGTACTGCTAAAACCACTGAACAATAGATTAAAGACAATGATAAAAGTTAAAAATATCTAGTATATGCATTATTTATCATTCATCTAGAGATTTTATTTATTGACTTAATGTGGCAATCAAAGAAAAATCTCTTAATCGGGAAAACACATTAATTTTATAACTTTTCCAGAAATTTGTATTTACGTAGTGTCACATTTTTCTCAACATAAAAGCTAGGGCTATACCCAGAACTCCCTACAAATATATGTACCTGTAATCCACTGGGCTTAATCCAAACTACATTGGCTTGTGAATTATAACTACGTCTTTGGTTTGGCATCACTGGAAAGGGCGTGGTCTCTGCCTCATCATTATCCATTGAGTGATATGGATTGGGATCAAGCTCTGCCGCAGGGCCCAGTTTCTGCATGTTTCCAAGCCATGAAATACTCTCTCCAGGCCTAAAAATTGTTAACACTAGGTTGGATTTCTTCTTGCTGTCTGCCCATGAGTGAAGCATCCCAAACCAGTCAGAGCTACAAAAATTGCAAGCATTATTTATCAGTCAAAAAGTAGTATTATTTTCAACCATCATCTTAAGATGAAAGCATAGAGGTGTTGTTTAGATCCTGTCCCAATTGTACCAAAGGTGGATAGTGCTATCCAGTGGATAAGTGTAATCAAAATCAATTGCATTACTCAGTGAAAGTTGCATTGACCATCTTTTTAACTGGCATGGCTTAAAAAAAGAGCAAAGGAAAATCAATTTAACCGCAGTAACTATGTTTGCTCCACATTCTCTCTTTCTACCAAAATTATATACTGCCGTATATGGGCTATATAGGTATGTGCTGCTGTGAAGGGTATGGTTTTCAAGCAGTTTACTCTGGGAAAGGGTATATAAATAAGAGAGTTTGGGTCAAGAAGAGGGTATCATTTTCCATTTAAACTGATCAATTGGCTGAAGATTTTAGTCTAGACTAGGGAAACCGGGAAATGCCACTCAAGAATATATAAAAAAATCAAATCGGTTTTGTTTTGGCTGGACTGTGCTAGTGACCTCAGTAGTTTCTGGAAAACAGCTATTCTAGGATAGGGGGGGATTTGGGGAGTTTAGTCTAGTATGGTACCAAAATTCACTTGTACTAGCTCTGGTATAGGCTAAGGGTTCCAGGGTCCCAGTGGCACATCCCCACCCAAAAAGTCCTAAAGTACCCCCCCCCCTCCCCAGGGACCGGACCAACCATCATCTTATTGTCTCTACTCACTCAAATGAAACAATAGCCACCATCTTCTCCACTTTCAGACTTCCATGCAGAAGCACACAAAAGGAGGGTGTCTTCCCATCCTCTTCACTGTCTTTCACAGCATCTTTCCCACCTTCTTTGTCCTTAGCATCCGCTGAGGACAAAGGCACTGGTATGACAAGATGTCGTGATATATGTGGGGGACTACCAGCATCTGCCACATCAAGAAAACCACATATGGATAATTCACTCGGCAACCTCCTGTTTTTCTCTTGACCTTTGGCTTTTTTAGATCTTTCAAGTACGCTTGTCAAGTCTGGTGGTGGAGATAACGTGACTTTGGACTGCAAATGTCCGCAAGATAGGGTTCCCTCATAGTTAATGTAGTGTGTCTGTGCAAGGCGCATGAACACATTCTGAACTGATTGGACACTTAATGGTGTGTCTGGCACATACACACTACCCCCTGCACCAGCTGAATCACAAAGCCTTTGAAACAGCATTAAATCTGCCCCTAGTTCATTAGACGTTGCAATGCAGACAACGTGTATTTTACAGGGAAAGGGTAGAGGAAATGGACTCGGTTGGTCGGAATCGTCCCTTCTCTTTCCTTCCAGAAGGTCTCTGAGAGAACCTTGCCCTGACCCTGTGCGTCCATCGGTGACCAAAATGACTTGACAGGGAACCGATGTGCCCCATTCCTCTAAAACATGGCCGACAACACCGCTGAATCCGTTATCATAACAAGTCTTGTCATACACATCCACCGTAACACAACCTTGCTTCAAAGACTGATTATCTCGCGTGAACGGCACAACGATCTCCCATAGCGACGAAAAAGCTAACAAGGCAGAAAATTCTAACTTAAACTTGCTGGACAAGTGATCGAAAAAGGTGTGAAGGCCACGGATGGCTAGATGTCTACGCTCAACAAGAGCTTCGTCTGGCGTCTGGACAAGCCGGAGCATTGAAAGTGAAACATCGAGGAGCACAACCGTCGGCATTGCAAGGCTTTTCGTGGGTGAAAATGCAGAGAAGGTTTGTCGGCGAAGTTCAAAACCAGTTACCACAGACAAGTACCAAGCACCATGCTGTTTGATAGTTCGCTACTTCACTTATGCTTATTGAATTGTCTTTAAGTTAGAGCCCTTTCTCCTCCCCCGACCGAGCGAGAGACCTGCGGAAATCGATGGAAGACCGCAAAAAGCCGCAAAAATCCGCAAAAGTACCTTTCTAAAAATTTTACAATCCACTTTCATGAACTGGAACGTTTTCTCTCTTTTTTTAGTAATACGAGCCACTGATTATAATTTTCAGGAGCCTCCTTAGGCTTTGGTAGATTGTGCTAGCATAATTTTAAGCATAATTCAGCAAAACGAGCATTATTTTAAGCTTTTATTTCGGTTTAGCACTGCTAGGATAATCCGAACTTTTATGCGTTGAAAACAAAAAAAAACCATCATAGCTCTAGAAAAATTCAGTTTTTATTTTATTTCTGTATTGTTTTTGGAAAGTATTGAGGTCTGTTCTAAGGCCCATGGTCAAATATGGTCCAGCAGGCGGCAGAGGTCACCCTGTGCATATCTGAAAGACTGGCTAACTATCTTGCCGCCGCCCAGGACGCCATCATGCCCTGCGAAGACGACAAAGTGAAGTGGTGGAGGCAACAATCTGATAACCTACCCCATTGGTCTTCTGCAGTTATGAAGGTTCTGCTAGTGCAGCCCTCGTCTACAGCCGCTGAACGAGTATTCTCTATTCTTAACTCATCGTTCAACGATTCACAAGAGCATGCTCTCGTGGACTATTTACAGGCTTGTGTAATGCTTCAGTACAATAACCGATAATTACACAGAGATTAACAACATGCATAGTTGTCTTTATACTGAACTGAGGGCTTTGCCTGGATGGCGTCTAAAACAAGTATGCGGGCTTTAACTTTCTGACCCGGATTCAGAACCCAGAAATGGTTGATTTTGGTATCATTTGTTAATCATTTGGCTTTTCGAGGTGCGCACATGCCTATTTGCGATGCTAAAGACTGTAGGACTGGAAGGTGGACTATATGAATGTTCATTAAAGTCAAAATTGATAGAGTTAAGTTATTGATGATCTTTATTTTCCTTAAAATCAGTGTAAAATCTAAGTAGCATAATTTCGGTGACAGAGAGCATAATTTTCAGAAAGTAGCATAATTTTGGCATAACTTCTAAAAAATATGAGCACTGCTAAAAGCATAATATGCTTTTTTTTCGAGCACAATCTACCAAAGCCTAAGCCTCCTCACTGAAAATATGTCTTGGTGCTTCAATGGAATATCTGAAGAGCCTACCACAGTTTTTTCTTTCTCTTAGTGCATTTTTAGGACACTCTGTGACCAAAACATCAATTCAGTTTTTTTTTCTTTTACCGCTTTTATGTTAGACACTCAAAAATGTCATAAACCAAAGTAAAGAAAACATTATTCAGTCAGCTTTTCTGAATATATTGTCGGCTGAGTGTGCAGACACTCTCTCCTGTTTATGTTGTGGGAAAGCTGGGGAGAAAGAAAAAGAGAACGCACGGGGCACGATGGGAAGGGGAAAGCGACAAGAACGAGAGAGGCCCGCTTTTTCCCTCTTCCCGCGCGCTTTCTATTTTTTTCGATTATTGCTACTTTTGCAGGGATACCCAGCGGGAGCCTCAGCAGAGGAGAGAGGTGCAGACAGATAATTGTCAATCAGAAATAGTAATTGAACAACTTGTTGATCATCCTCGGAGACCCAGGGGCAGTCAGTCGGGTCGAGAAAAGGGGCGACAAAACTGACTGCCCGTGCCCCTGGCTCTCGAGCTCCGAGGATGCTTGTCCATCAAATGTATGGTTCTTGAAAAAAGTGTTTTTTGCTAATCGATTCTAAAATGTTGAGGCGAAAGTGAATTGCCTGACTTGAGTATGTTCAACATCTATTTTAACATTCGTGTTGTTTGCGCCTACTATTATGAGTCTATCCAGCAAGCGTTGAAAAAGGAAGTCAGAAAATTCACAAGAATACACGGCACTAGCGCTGTTGATGTGCAGTAGACAAACAAGCCAAGTATTTTTTAAGAAGTCAATGGTTAACCTATATTCTTGACCAAATGACGTAAGGAAGTGTTCATGCATGGAGTTATGTCCGTAGATTGATATTGACTTCCGGTCACGATTTTTTAGACAACAAAAAATAGCACGAACACTAAAAAAATGGTTTCGTTTAAATTACCAATGAGGAATAAATTTTCTTTTTGTCCCTGTAGATATTTTACTCGTGCTTGGCATTTGCAAGAAATTTTAATGATTAGAATATGCAATTTTATATGCCGTATTCAGTCAAAGATTGCACTTCCCTTTTGGTAGAGACGATGACGTCATGGTCTCAAGGGACAGGTGTCTTTTGTGATGTAAGCGAAATGGCGAAGGAACTGGATTCTAATAGTTGAAGCGATCATGGAAGTTCACCGTTAAGACTTCGAGTTGCGGCGATTTTTTGTAGTTTCTTATCTTTTTTTCGCATATTATTGGACAAGTAAGGCATAGAAATGAACGGTCTTTCGTTTTCCGAGATCTGCTGTTTGTTTTGTTGCCCACCTTGCCCGGGAAGAATAGCGGCGAAATTGGCTTTCCTTCCACCAGATCCGACGTATTCGTTTCAAGATTTGGGCGATGGAAGCTTTGGGCTTCATCTTACCGAGAAAGCCGAGTGGCAGTATGGCCAGAAAGAGTTAGATTGTATCGAGGTTTTCACGACGAAAACAAGCAAAGGAAATCAAATCGGGTGCATGTACGTCCGATGTGCCCCTAACGCTCGCTTTACACTCCTCTTCAGTCATGGTAACGCTGTTGATCTCGGACAAATGTCAAGCTTTTATGTGGGGCTTGGAACTAGGATAAACTGCAATATATTCTCGTACGATTATTCTGGCTACGGTGTTAGTCAAGGGAGACCTTCAGAAACGAATCTTTATGCTGATATCGATGCCGCATGGCAGGCGTTACGTACTCGCTATGGAATCAGCCCCGAGAATATAATAGTGTACGGGCAAAGTATAGGCACTGTTCCCACTGTAGATTTGGCTTCGAGATTTGAATGTGCGGGAATAATCCTTCATTCACCGCTCACTTCTGGAATGAGAGTAGCCTTTCCCGACACCAAGAGAACGTGGTGTTTTGACGCTTTCCCAAGGTAAGTTTACAAATTTGTGTCTATGGAATTCGTACAAGTAAATTCGGCGCGTGCTTAACTTTACTTCAATTCACTGCGTTCCACCGAAACGATCAATCATCATTAGACTGCAAATCAAAATACATTTCAACTTTTATAGGACAAACTGTGGGTTTTTACACGGGGGTAAAAATTCCACTCAAAGAAAATTCCATTTTTACACTAACAAGCTTGTATTTTTATTCTGGTCTGAAGTGACATATCCAATATTATCTTTCAAAACTTTTTTTTGCCTTACTGTACGCATATTATAAGCTTGATCTCTAAAATTCTAAAAAGGGTTGAGTACAGTTGACTGCATACTATCAGCCTTGTTTCTGATATTTAAAACTGCGCTTTAAATAATGATTGACTCCGGCCAACACCCGTTTCTTTACGTCTAGAATTTATTCATTTCAAATTTTTGTATGTACATAAGAGAAATGTAAATAATACATTTCGCTCAATGGCTAAGAATAAACAGATGTATAATTCCTTTTTTGAAATATAATAATTTTGTTCAATGAATTACCATGAGTACAACCTGTCTTTAACCATCTTTTACATGTTAGTTGATTCCCATTCCTTGATAATTCCCATTAATTTGAAATGATTGTCTTAGAATTTTTTAAAAAAACAATCTTTATCCCCTGAACCTCTCCTGTGATCGTTTTTAGTTTATTTAGTGGTAATTATATATATATCACTAGTTTAACGGCCCGATATTAATGGGCCAAGTTTTATAGAGTGGATTACAAGTTTGGTCATGGTTGTTCCAGAACTTTAATAGTGGTAGACCTATTTTACATTACATTTGGGTCAGACTTAAAAATTCTGAAATTGATAATCTGGCAAACAACGCACTGTGGTTCGTTTACGTGTACAAAGAGTACTTCATGAGCAGTGAACATGACTGAGAAATATGAAAAGTTCTGTGATCTCTAGGAGATAATATATCCTAGTAAAAGATTTATTAATTTGTCTAAATTTTGAACAGCCAAAAGTAAAAGGAATTTTGACTGGCTGAAGTTGGTTAGTCATGTGCAGTAACTAAAAAAAACCCTTGTTCTGCTGGGTTGTCAAAAGTGGCTGGCTGCTGGCAAAAATCAGCGTATCTGGTGATATCAAGGAGCTACGTGGCTGCACTACATAGCATATTACCCTGCCTAAGTACTTCAAACCCTTATGTAGGGGGGTAAGGGGGGTACAAACAACGCAAAACTGCACAGAAATACGTATAATCACGGCACAGAATAACATAAGAAAACTGCAAACTGAATTGAAATTACCAGGAAATTTCTAAGTACTGCAAAGTACATGGTTTTTTTAAAACCACAACCCCACAGCTTAAAATAGAAATTTCCCAAAATCGCATCATTGCAAACCCTTACACCCTCCTCCTTAAGCTTATGGCCATTCTGCAGGTTTTTTATGTGGCTTCCAAATATCACAATCCACATTGAACCTCAATTTCTATTGTCAACTGTGTACATGTATATTCAGTAGGAAGTTATTATTTTTTATCACTCATATTGTTGCAGACTGAACTGGACTTCACTCTGTCCTATTACGGGGTAACCTTGATATAACAATCTGCTATATAACAAAGTCATCATTACAATTAACAGTTTTCTTTACCCCAGTAGTAGTAAAATGTATGAAAAAGAACCTCGATATAATGAAACCTCATTATTGTGAACAAATTTTGGCAATCCCTTGGCCCCTCATTATGTCAAGGTTCTACCATTTATGATTATTTCTTAATCCTTTTTTCATTTTTTTGCAGCATTGAGAAAGTGTCAAAAATTGTGTCCCCAGTTCTTGTTATTCATGGAACTGAGGACGAAGTTATAGATTTCTCCCATGGATTAGCCATCTATGAGCGATGTCCACGCACGGTTGATCCCCTTTGGGTTGAAGGAGCAGGTCATAATGACGTTGAACTGTATGGTCAATATCTGGAAAGGTTGAAGCAATTTATACAACATGAACTAGTGACAAACTGATTGATAGGGTAAAAAATATTATTTGATATTTACAGAAATGTTGTTCGTTATTTTTTGTAAATTGATTTTCATTGATTGTTGAGTAGCTTTGCCTAGGAAATGTTTTTGAGTAGGAAAAGGATGAATGTGAAGCTAGTCAAATTTGGTATGATGGTTGTGTTAATTTTAGAATAATTTTATAGGTGAAAATAAATGCTCTACTGTAATGGTAATATATATACTTACCTCCTTTCGTGAATATTATCATTATCAATTTGTTATTGTTAATAGTACTAGTTTAAGTCGATGAGCTTTGCAGTTATGCATAAATGCAATTTTACAACATCATTAGAGAACAATTATCATTGTTCCTCATTGGTAATGTTTAAGATATTGTCTTTCTCTGTTTGATTCAGAGTTTGTTTCTGCATATGAGCCATGTTGTGTTTATTAGCTAACACTTACATGTAAATCTTGAATTCCTTTTCGAGCACATCGGTTTTTTGCTTACTCTATTTTCCATTGAAGCTTTCAGTGCATCACAACCTTTATCTTAAATTACTGTTAAATTAAGCTATCATTGTTATTTCTTTTTGTCGATGCTGTGTTAAGATCTTTATCTAGCACAGTTGGTGATTCTAAATGTATGTTATATCGCTTCTCTGGTGACCTTAAAATGGGGCAAATTTAGTGCATTCTTCAAACTAAACGGTTTTCTATGGTTTTGTGTCTATTCATCCAATGAAAGCAAGACACTCCTATGATTGATAAGGGCATGTACAGTAAAACACTCGCCTGGAATATGACCTGTTGTTTGGCCCAACAGCTGTCTAATTAACGTTTCACTAACGGAGGATTCATTTGTAACATAGCTTTGTAGTGGACACATTTACATTGTAACCCTTGGAATTTTTATTGGGCAAGATTAATAAAAACTTCAGGCTGGTATAGAAAGTGTTGGCTATATGCATATGCTCCAAAATGAGTCTACCCTAAGTCAATAATTGAATCATCATTAAAAGTTTGGATTTAAGCATTTCTTGAAAATGTAGTTCCTTTAAAATGACCATTGTTCTTAATTGCAGAGGATGATATTTCAGTCAAAAAAAATCTTGGACATTTTGCATTATTAATGTGGTTAAGTATGGGCTGTATGGCATTGATCAAAACATTGTTGGTTTCATGCCCTAAACATTATCATGATTTCTTTGGTGAAAATAACACAGAACTACAGAAAACTGTTTCAGTCTTTAAAGGAGAAGTTAAACTTTGTCCTTTAAAGGGCAAATGTTACTTGCTCTGTTGAATATTTTTGTAAGTATGTTCAACCGTAAAAGTTTACCTATGAAGCTCGTTATGTGTGCTGACTCTATAAATAATGTATGAAGAGTCCCCGGCCCCCGGCTCTTAATGACAACCCTGGTAATGCTGGTTCTTATAATCATCTTCCTTTCATCTTTCTGTCTGATAATGATGCTAGTTATGATGGCCTAATTTGTACTATTACTAACTTCATAGTGGCAGTCCTTGTGATCCAACACAGCGTTTTCAAGTTGCAATTTTTAAAGTTGCTTCTGTAAAATAGCAATTTGTGCTGTTGTGAAATTTTTCATGAGAACTTTGGCTTTATTAGAAACTACTCTTAATAATGAATTATAATAATTAGATGTTAGCCTTGGTGCTTTGAAGCCCTGAATTTATAAAATGTAACATTTATCTTTTCAAGGCAGAACTCCAAAAAGTAAAAGGATACGGTGCTACAAATATTATCCCACAAATATTGTAAATAGGTTTTCTATGATTGCTAAACATATTCAGGAACAGTAAGCCCCTTAATTTCCAACAGCTATCAATATTATTGGTCTTTTGTTTACTGACTGTAGATAGCATAAGAAAAAGAAACAAAAAAAATCTACAATGACCCAGATTCAAACAACCGGGCAAAATAACTTTCTCTGCATCAAAAGTTTACCAAATGAGTGGTTCTTTTTGGTGATCTTCCACTTGTGTCACCTTAGACTCCAATAATATCTGCAGCAGGCAGCAGATATGGATTCTTTCCATAACTGTTTAGAAGTTATTTTTTTTCATTAAATTTGTCCCTTAAAAAAATGTTCAAAATGTTCTTTAAGTTTTTTTAGTGTCAAATAAATTCAGATCTTTGCATTATGAACCAACTTTATGGAAAATAAAAAATTGAAAAGAATTCAGCATTTTACCTTTCTTGAAGAACAATAAAGATGTACTTGTGAATGAATGTGTAAATACAGAGGAAAGATCAATAAAATGGATTGCAATAGTGACTTGACGAGATGCAACTGTCACCTGTTAAGTGTTGGGTAACAGATTGGCTTTCCAGTAGTTTTAATTTATTTTTCTTGGTCCAGGTTGTGCAGTAGTTCATTCAAAATTCCTCTCAACTTTTTAAGCAGCCATAGCAAATGACCGCCACCTGGTTCGCTCAGTTGGAAAAGCACTGGTCTGCTGAGCTGGAGGTCGCGGGTTCAAACCCTGGCCGAACAAACACTCAGGGTCAGAAAGTGCTGCCTTTGCAATGACATCTGCAAACTGTTAGACTTTTTAGTCTTCTCAGATAAGGACAGCAAACCATAGGTCCTGTCTCACAGCACTTTCACTTAACATCTAGTTCTTGAGGGATGTAAAAGAACCTACACCACTGTTCGAAAAAAGTAGGGTACATAGACCCTGGTGGTGTGGCCAACCTCTCCTGGACTGGGTGGGTTATTCCGTAAGCAGGACACACTTAAATTGGAACCCACTGTGTTGTGTATTCTGCGCAATGTGGTGGAAGTGATAACATTAATATAGCCTGTGCCAGGCTCTCAGATAGTAGAGTGGGAACGTATTAAAACGAGCAAAGCGAAAATAAGACACGCACGACTTGGGAAAGGGGGTGGTGGCCCTGTCTCTCCCCAGCCCCTGCGCATTTTTCGCATTTTTTTTTCTCAATTCACCACTATTTCGGAGCCTGGAACAGGCTAACATTAATAAGGTTCACCTGCAACATCTCTGAAAAATTTATGGTGGCTCCTTTAGTCTTCCACTTTGACCACCCATAACATCAAGTGAGTTCAGCTTTAACAGCTGTTACAGGTTATGGCCCTTACTTGCCCTTGGAGTCAGAGAGAGGATGAGAGGCAATTTGGAGAGGACCCGGGGAAAGAGGTTGTAGTTCATTCTGCAGTTTCCCATTCTGGTCATTTAGATTACCCACGCACTTTTTGGAATACTTCACTGGGAAATATGGTCCCTTAGCTTAAAGGTCTGCAGTTTTAAAAGTAATAGTAGGCTTCAAGATATTTTGCCGTATGTGAAGAAAAGGCAACACCTATCAGGCATCTGACATTTTTTTTAAAGCCATAACTCATGTCCTTTATTGGTTTGATTTTTATTTTTCAATAGCCATATCTGTAGACTACAGCTCAGTGGCCGATCCAGACCTTCAGATAGTGGGGGGGGGGGGGGGGGGTTTTTTTTTAAAAAATTTTTCTCGGCCTTTGGGGCCTTTTTGTGGCCAAAAAAAAGGGGGGCCCCGCCCCCCCCGGCCCCCCCCCCCCCCCCCCCCCCCCGCGCTGTCTTCTTTTTTTTTTTGGCTTTTGTTGTGGGGTAAAATAATATTTTGATTAATTGTTGTTCGCGTGATATAATAATAAACCAACCACTTTCATCATTTTTTTATTTTTTTAGTGATGTTATTCTTTCTTTTTTTTTTTTTTTTTTTTTTTTTTTCACATACTAATGAGGAGAGGAGTAAGGGGCGGGGTAGCTAGTGCCGATAAGGTGGGGGGGGGGGGGGGGGGGGGCAGTTTTTTTAAAAAAATTTTCTCAGCCCTTTGGGCCTCAGTTTGGTCCAAAAATAAGGGGGGCCCAGGCCCCTCGGATCCCTCCCCCGGATCCACCACTGCAGCTGTATATCATTCTATGTTGTGACTCTGTTGTGGGATAAAATACTGTAATTAGAGCGGACAGCTAGAAGAAGATTGAAAAACAGGCTTTTCTCACCTGCCTAGTTTCATATACTGTATTTTTTTATTTTTGATGGCAATCCTAGGTGATGTTTTGTGGGTAGCTGTTCTAAAACCTACATTCTGTCTCCCCCTCCCCCAACCCCGTGTGACGCTGTAACCAAAGGAGAAAAAAGGTTTTTGACAATATTTAAAAGGTAGGTACATTAAAGCCCTGATTGAAACCGTTGAATCTAACCTGGTCACTCTAGCTTCAAACAGCTGGAAACTAATAAATGCAGAGAAAGGAAAAAATGAGAACACCATTTTGAGATCCTTTGACATGATGCAATAGGTCAAAGATTTCGTGAAAAATCTCCCTCCCCCTCCCCCCGAAAAAAGAAATAAATAAGTAAAACCTTTAGATGTCTGTCCCTTGCTATAATTTGTCAATGACTACATAGGTGTACCATAAAGGTGTATGCAAAATTTGTTTTCAGTTGGTTTTGCTTTGTTTTGTTTTTGCAACGTTGCCATTACGAAATGCGTGACTTTATTTAACAGACACGACAAGGGCACGCTTTTCAGGTCACGCTCCTGAAGCCCGGGACGAGTGTCGCCACCTGGAAACAACTCCCAGCAAGCTTCCAGGAGTTTCCTAGTGTCTTCTGTCGAGTAAAAAAAGAATGGCTAAGATCATAACAGGTTCTGTTGACGACTTAGCAACTCTTTCTGAATTGAATGAAAAAATTATTCTGGAAGAGCTGCAAGCGAGATATAGCAAAGATGTTATCTATGTGAGTACTTGGGGCTCTAAGTCTGTCAGTTTATAACACGACTCACTTGATGAGATTTTCCTTCCTCGTCCAATTTGTGATTATATTTAGCTGCAGCGGATATTGATTTATTTGCAATCTGTCCATCAAAAATTATAGACCTATGTCGGTGATATTCTTATCGCAGTCAACCCGTTCAAGCAACTGGATATTTACCACAAGAATGTAAGTTAAACTTAACTGAACGAACTTAGGATAATTTAATTTACGCCAGTGAATAATTAAAGCGAGACATCTGCTTTCGAGCCCCTTGATAACGTTCCACCACTTTCGCTGATACTCAAGTTTAAACTGATTTTAGTCCTTTTATAATTTTGATTAACAATTCTGAACTTAAAAGATGTGTCTTCCAAAATATCAAGTGGGCCAACAAAAATCCATTTTTTTTGTGGTGTTTGATCTGCTTATAGATTGCAGCAAAGTATAAGATGACACAGAAATCATTTCAGCCTCCACATATTTTTGCCATTGCTGATGCAGCTTACCAAGCCATGTTAGGCATTGGTGCTGGGACCAATCCAAAAAGCCAGTGTTGTGTCATCAGGTATGAGGACTTGACTCTTCTTCCTGTCTCTTAGTAACAGTGAGGGGTGAGTGTTGGGTGTGTTGGTTAGGGTTATGGTCAATATTAGTGCTGGTTGCTTTCAATCCAGTACTCAGCAAAGGTTTACTGACCTTTCCACAGGATATAACAAGTAAACTACTTTTAACAAAATCAGTGCAAAAATTGATTATGCTTATAAAATATTTTCTGTTTTGAAACTTAATTAGAAGAAACTGACCTACTTATAAATAATTGTCCCCTCTTTCACTGCACAAAAATGATTGGCACACGACCCATTTGCACCAGCCATCACATCTCATCTAAATAACTAAAATTAATGACCAGTCCCACGTCACCAGAATGAGTACTGACATAAATAATAACTTCACTTGTTGCTGTACTTCATAATCCACAGGCATCCCAAACTCAATATCTGAGTGCATGTTAAAAATTTTAAAATATTAAAATGTGCTAATATTTTGTAATGTAAGGCTTCATAGGGTTAATTTATATGGGAAAAAGAAGCAATAGAAAAAATATTGCACTATCTTGTGTAGCAAATAATCAAAATAAACTTACTTTCACTGTTTGTGTTCCTGTGTTCTTTTTGTAGTGTTCTGGGCTGGTTTTGCTATTCTTCCTTATTAACCTTCATATTTATTTTAATTTTTTGTAAATTATTAAGTTTTTTTATTGCTACTCTATTAACTAAGAGAAGGGGATATTTTATTTTTTCCCATATAAAACCTATAAACTACATATATCATACAAAATTAGCATATTATGTATCAATTTTTACATGTATGCTCACATATTGAGTTTTGGATGCCTATGCTTAATATTCTAAAAACAATAATAGACTGTTTAGCTAGTGCATCTCTTTGCATGTACTTTGACAGTAAAAATATTGTAATTTCAGCGGTGAAAGCGGTGCAGGCAAGACAGAATCAGCCAAACTTTTGATCAGTCAACTTGTTGAGCTATCCAAAGGAACCTCACAGCTGGAACAGCAGATTCTTCAGGTGCTGTTAATAAATCTGTAACAGGAAAAGTTCAGTGCTACACCCATACCATCAGTCAGTCAATGAAACTAGTATTAAAGCAGACACTCACGGAAATCATGCTTATAAAAAATAACCAGGACAATAACGGCCCCCAATACAGATTCCTCAAGAAATCCTAAAAAAAATTGACCGAGCAATTTTTTTTAAAAATCGTTGGTTTATTAAGATAGCCAGTTCAATAGTGGCTTTAATTTGATATAGGGTTTTGGGTATCTGAAGTCAATGACTACAACCTGCTGACACCCCTGAAGGTATCTGGTAACCTTAAGAATACTAATATAATTAATATTTAATGATTATAACCCTTCCCCCTCTCCCCTCAGGTAAATCCTCTGCTTGAAGCCTTTGGTAATGCTCAAACACTCATGAACCACAACTCAAGTAGATTTGGAAAGTACATTCAACTGAAGTTTCAGCAAGGCAGTGGTAGGAACTTGCATATGCTGATAAAAGTAAACCCCCCCCCACCCCACACAGCCTAACACCCACAGTCTTCGTCTCCTCCATAACCATCCCCTGCACCACTGCATCATTCTCATTTATTT